CTATCTATCTATCTATCTATCTATCTATCTATCTATCTATCTATCTATCTATCTATCTATCCCAACCATCCTCATTAACTTATAATCATATACAATACATTCTAAGCTAATAAGTCAAAATTAGCACAAACCCTCAAAAATGCCCTCTAAATGGCCTAGATTGAAAAAAATATATATTTAAGCTTCTGTCAGCTGCCAGTTCATGCTTGCCTTTTGCTATCGCTCAGTGCCAGGCCGCCATGAACTCTAAGGGATTGGATGGGAGAGGGGAGGATTCTAGAAAAATGAAAAGTTCATTTCCTGTCTAGGCAGGGGGCTGGACTAGAAGACCTCCAAGGTCCCTTCCAACTCTGCTATTGTATTGTACTGCATCTCCCTGAAACATGGTTTTAAGGTCGGCTGGCTGAGGATACAGCCGCATACCAAACCACACTTGAAGCAACCCTTCTGAAAACATCTTTGAATTTGATTAGGCATTGGGGAGGCCAGCATGGGGAGGTACCTAAGGGAAGGGAAGTTGGACCTGAGGTTTTTGGCATGTGAATTTTAGTTCTGGCTTTGCACTATTGTATTTCACTTGACCGCTAGGAAACTATACCTTTCTCAACAAATGGAATTAAGGATCATTCTTAAGGCTAAAACTGAGGCAGGTCTGACAGCTCCCTTTTAAACTGCAACAATTCTTAATTCACTCAAACCTCAAGAGAAAGATAAACCCTATACATTCTTAGTGTGGATATACCATGCTGGAGCCCCTGAAATAATGTATCAAGAAGATGCACAATTATTTTCAGTTCCTAATAATTTTTTTAATGAGGGCATGCTAAATGTACCTAATCCTCATGTGGCTGCCCATTGAATGAGAATGCAAAATGTTTCCTAGGTATTATGACTAGTATTTTTATTGGGAATTATCTTTTTAATCATCTAATTTAGGCTTTTTAGAAGAGACTCTGGAAACATGTTTTTCACCAGATGTTTACTTCAGTCATTTGTCCTGAAGACATTATGTTAGAGCTGATTTAATTAATTATGCCTCAAAAGCTTGTTGAGCTCAGAACTGCCTCTTGGATTGCATTCCCTTACGTTTCTAATCAATGCTGCATTCAGTTTCTGACATACTTCTGGCTGATCATTTGTGCTGACCAGAAACTTAAAGCCTTTGTTAATGATAGCAATGTGTTCTGCAGCCTTCAAACCCATCTCAGTTTTAAAACTATCAAAGTATTTCACATAAATGATTACTTTGAAGTGAGTGCATCTACCCAAAGGTAACTCTGTGTGAAATGCCCAGATGTGAATGTCAACCAGAAGTATAACTGTTCATAGCATTTACTGCTAATCTTGGACAAATGTTCTAACATAAATATGTATATAATGACTGTTATCTGCAGTTCAGCGGTTCTAATCTCACCAGCTCAATGTTGACTCAGCCTTCCATCCTTCCGAAGTGGGTGAAATGAGGACCCAGACTATGGGGCTGATATGCTGACTCTGTAAACCGCTTAGAGAGGGCTGAAAGCCCTATGAAGCGGTATATAAGTCTTAACTGCTATTGCTATTGCTATATGCAACATAATTTACAAAACTAG